TAAAAAGCAGAAATACCAAAATCTACTAAACAAATACAAACCTACGACAGAAAAACAAATAAGCTAGACATATGTATTAAAACCTTTAAGGCTCTATTTCTTCATTGATGATCCTTGCGGTTTTAATAATGAGAAGAACTTGATATTTGTAACTTTTAAATCTTTAAGGCTCTGTTATTTGAAGTATTTGTCTTTTCTCAAATTTCAAATTATTTATGTATGCTGGTTTTGCATTAAGCCCTATGTGATTCTATTTGTAGTAGGTTATTTTCTTCGAAACTTCTCAAATATATGGATTTCAAAAACCTAAGAGTTTTTCTTTTTTTTGTGCTATTTGCTTCTATTCGAGTCGGCATATTCTTAAAGAAACCTTCACAAATATGTTTTCTTAATTCAGACCATTTGAAATGCATAAGATTTTGTGTTGGCTAACAGCAATTCTATAAGCAATAACTTCTTTTTTAGAATTTGAAAACACAATCGAATTATCTTAAACAATTAATTTTCTTTTCTATATTTGTAAGACAAAAAATATCAAATACGAAAAAGAAACGTAATAAAATTTATCTTTTTTGTTGTTGAACTTCATCTTCTTCTTCTTTGTTTATTTTGGTCTTGTAAACCTCTTCTACTATATTTGAACCTAAAATCCTAAGCATTGAAAAGAACATATGAAAGATATAATAATTAGTTTCAAATTCCAATAAGTCACAAATTTTTCATAGCAATGCTTGTTGTATAAATACAAGGCGAGAACCTAAGATGCAACTAAATGTGTTAAACTAAAGAAAATAATGTGGATGCACAACAAAAAGCAAAGAAAGGTTTGTGTACCACGAAAATTAAAACAAACATTCTCAAAATGATAAGAAAAAATGTCCAAGAATAAGCTAAACTAATTTCTACTTGATGTTTCTACATCATTTATATAGAAAGAGAGATATGTCTTCTTAGGTTAGATTGAAAAAGCTTCCACAATCTTTAGATGAAGAGAATTTTCGAAGGGCACTGTTTCCACAAATACCTAGCATCTCGTCCCAAGGAACTTGAAGAATGCCAAATCTAAAGTTAATCTCCTTCTCATTAATCTCTAGATCAAATGTGAGTTAGGAAGTGAGAAAGGGATCTTAAGGTACCTGAGTGTTTAGTGGATTAGCAAACTCTTACAACATAAAAGCATCATGAGTGATCAGAAGGACGTCATAAGTTTTTTTAATGGTTCCACCCATTCTTTTAGTTGGATCAGTGAGGACAGAGGACAAGCTCTACACCAAATGATCTCATGGTAACTCTTTATAATCCTATACCCGTTGATAGACGCGATGAAACCCATGCATATATTTCCCCAAGTGGGCTCTAGGAATGGCTTCTAAAAAGTAAGCATCATTCCATGGGTCTAGTTCATCGTGAATTTGAGATTAAATATCAGAATAGAAACCTGATTACCTTTGAGGGATGTTCTTTGCCTCTACAACCATGGATGAAGGTGGTCTGGAGACAACAAAGTCAAACGAAATCAGCACTTCATCGAGCTTGTCATATGATTGCAGCAATTTACATTATAACCCATTTGAATTCCCTCCTTTAGTATATAAGGTTCCATGATGCAGAGTATCAACTTCAGTGTGATTATATCCAGGAAGAAAATCACTGTATTATATAAAAAACCTGTAAACCTATATTTAAGCTCTCATGTATTTGCCATCGTAAGTAGAGAACCAATTCTGGAAAAGGTTTTGAGTATTACCATTCCTAATGCAGCTCCTCCAAGCAGATTTTTTCCTGCGCAACCTGTTTACAAATTAAAATAAATATGTCACAATGTTAACAAATATACCATGACCAGTCATTTAACTTATTGAATGGGAGAGAATTTTCTGCAAACTAAATCAAGTAGCAATAACGTAACATAAGGTTAGGATATTGGGTTAATAAATATCACGTTTGGCCATGCCGGTTAGATTTCATCAAGTTAGATTAAAAAAAAAAGAAAAAGAAATTACAGAAGAAATATCAAATTTTTGAATCAGCGAACAACAACAAATACATAATCAAAATGCGGTAAGCCAGTCGTGGACGAATTGAGTGAAAAATCAAATGATATGAAACGGGTTTTCATGGAAGAGGCTGATAAAAACCCAAAAGCATCTAAGAAATTGACGATATTGGATGCAACAAACGAAGAAATGTTATCACATCGTAAGAAGAAATAACATAATGGTGGAAGAGAAGCGTTACGATTTTTTGGATGGAACGGGGATTGCAATAGCCGACGAGGGAGATTACACTAAGAGCGAAGAAGAAGAAGATGGTTCGACAGAATGCTAACAAATCAGATTTTGGATGAAAACGCCAACAAGGGCAAGATCTTTGTTCCCAATATCAGCTCAAAGAGTCCAATATACGTAAGAGAAGAATACGAACCAACATTTGTGTAACACAAAATCGATCGAGACAACTTTCAGAAATCGACAATTTTTTATTAAAATCGAGTGAGAGGTGTCTCGGGGAGATCTTGGGTGAGAACGAAGACCTTTGCAATAGGTTGGCACTACAGAACCTCGTATTCAAATTTCTAAGGTTCCCTCGCTTATACCTCGAAATCCATGGCATAAATATGAGAAAGTTGAAAACTTAGCACACAAAACTTCCCTTATAGAAGAAGGAGAAGAGCAAGTGAAAAGTTAATTATACATTCATTTGCATACATACAGGGAAGTCGAGAAGGTGCTATTAAACCCTAGAGAGGTAAAAGAGGAAGATGAAGAGCGTGTAACCGAATATCAGAGCTGCTGATATTAAAAACTGAAGTTTGCGACCCAAAAAACAAAAAAGGATGGAGAGGGTTCAGGACCAAAGATCAATCTCACTGCCTCCATCTAAGAGACTGTTAAGAGACTCCGAGGGATCACAATTTGTCTCCATGAAGGGCATCTGGAAGAAACACTCGGTCTGGTTCTCGAAAGCTAGAAGCTCTTCAGAAAGCAGAGAACTCAGATTGGCTTCACCATCATAAG